GTCACAGATGAAGTCAAAGAAGGGCTTAAACAGTGTCTATAACTAAATAATAATTCTGATACAACATACCAGAACTTATGGGATGCAATAAAGCAGTCCTCACAGGGAAATTCATAGTGATGAATTCTCAAAGCAAGAAAACACAACAAACTCAAATAAACAACCTAATGGTGAACCTTAAATTCTGGAGAAAGAAGAATAAGTCAAGCCCAGAGCTCGTATGAGGGAGGAAATTATAAAGATCACAGCAGAAATGAATGCAATAGAGGCTAAGGAAACAATCCAAAGAATCAATGAATTGAAGTGCTGGTTGTTTGAAAGATTACATACTATTGGCAAACTCTTAGACAATGTTATCAAAAAGGAAAAACTCAAATTCATGCAATTATGAATGAAAAGGGTGAAATCACAATAGATCCTACAGAAACCCAGAAGATCATCAATTCATACTTTGAGAATCTTTATTATAAGATGGAAAACACGGAAGAAATGGATGAGATTCATAGGTATATATGATTTAGTAAAGCTGAAACAAGAAGAGATAAAAATTCTAAGTAACAGAATATCGGTCAATGAAAATTGAAGGTAAGTAGAACTCTTGAAGATACAGGTATAGGCAAAGACTTCATGAACAAAACCCAGACCACAAGGGGAATAGGAAGAATCAAGAATGAAGATTTCATCTCACTAAAAAGTTTTTGCACGGTAAAGTAAATCATAGTGAAGAGACACCTCACAGAGTGGGAAAAATATTTTACCAGCTGTTTCTCAGACAAAGAACTAATATCTAGAATATATAATGAAGTCAAAAAATGAGGCCCCTCAAATTTAAAGACCCTACCCAAAACTGGGCATCTGAAATGAGATAAAGAAGTAGAAATGGCAAACAAATATATGAAAAAACATTCAACATTAGTGGTCACTTGAGAGATGCAAATTAAGTGAAAGCTGAGATGCTGTCTCATCCTGAAATGAATGTCAATTATTCGGAAATCAATCCAATCAATAACAAATGCCAGCAGGGATGTGAGGAAAAGGAACCTTATTCCACTGTCGGTGGGAGTGTAGATTGGTGTAATCACTGTGGAAATCAGTGTGGAGATTCCTCAAACAAAAACTAGAGATTCCACTTGACCCAGTAATTCCTTTTTCTGTTTTTTTTTTTTTTTTTTTTTTTTTTTTTTTTTGGCGGAACCGGAGATTGAACTCAGGCCCTTGTGCTTGCCAGGGAAGTGCTTATTCCACTGAGCCATCTCCCTGGCCCCAATTCCTTTTTTTGGTATCTTCCCGAAAGAATCAAAAACATCATACCATAGCGTGTATGCACACTTATGTTTATAGCATCACAGATTATAATAGCTAAATCTTGCAAACAGCCCTAATGTCCAATTAATTGATGAATAGATAAAGAAGATGTGTTTTTTAAAAAATATACAACAGAGTACTACTCAGCCATAAAGAAGTATAAACCTGAGACATTTATAGGTAAGTGGATGTACCTTGAGACCATACTCTTATGGAAAGTAAATCAAAGACATATGTAAAAATCGCACTTTTTCTCCAGTGTGAGAAGCTGAAAGTGTAAAGAAGGACAAGAATATCTAGAAATTATGAGATAGGAAGAAAACACTCCATTGGGAAGGGGAATTAGGGAGGGAGGAAGGGGAAAGTAAGGAAGGGAAAGGAAAACATGAGAAGAAAAAAATGGAAAGAAAACATTTGTAAATAAGGAGGGAAGAAGGGTTGAAGGTTTTGAAGGGAGGAGAGGGGAATGGGGGAGAAAAGAGGAATTGAAATAAATCACACACACACACAAAGTCTCCGTGATGCAAGTTGATCATTATGTATATTTAAAATGAGGGCTGGCCAAATAGCTCAGCAGATTAAAGTGCCTGCAAGCAGGTGCAGGGGCTGGGGGGTCGATCCCTGGGCCTGCCATGCCGGCCCTGCCCCTGGGGCATGCTGAGACAGCAATTGAGACTGGGTGTAGTGGCGTATGCTTGTTATCCCAGCTCTTGGGAGGCTGTAAACAGGCGATCACTATGAGTCCGATCTAGTAGTGAGACCCTGAACACCGTGTAGACCCTTCCCTAAAATTAAAAAAAATATATACTTGGAGGCCAGGGAGATAGCTCAGTGGAATAAGTGTTTGCCTGGGAAGTGTAAGGTCCTGAGTTCAATCCCTGGTACCACTAAAAAAAATAAAAGATAAAAAACTACCAATAAAATTCAAGTTAATGAATATTATTATGAGAAGAAAAATAGAATAGTGTTTGGAAAAGATAAAATCATAATAGACCCTGTAAGGACTGTATATTTTAAGTGAATTTTACTTTCTTCCTATTTCTGGTAATTTTTTCTACACAATATAAACAAAATAATCTCATTTATTTTAAAAGTTCCATTTCTCTGTATTATCATTTAAAGACTGATTGACTGACTGATTGATTGATTGATTGATTGACTGATTTGGTACAGGATCTTGCTATGCAGCTTGAACTCATAGTGATCTCAGCCTCCCCAGCGCTTGGGATCACAGGTGTGCAGCACCACATCCAGTTTCGGTGGCCAGCATGGCGCAGGCCAGTGTGGCATGTGGTACCAGGGATCGAACCCAGGTCCTTATGCTTGCCAGGCAGGTGCTTAGACCACTGGGTTATCTTCTCGGGCCCTGTACCATCATTTAAAGAAAATATTTTCCCCCAACAGGGAAAAAAAGCCTTGTGATAAGAATGCCTAATTCAGCTCCTATCTGAAAATCAAGTCTATTGAAAGCCATGTTTCAATCTACCTTGAGTATGGTCTCAGGTTTCATGCTTTGGGGAGGAAGCATGAGAAAAAAAAAATCTAAGGTAATTTTTGTTTTGTACCTTGGAAATGGACAGGACCTCACTGGTGAGCCTCCTACCTTCTCCCCCTGACCACAGCATTTGTGACCCCAGGGCCATCCACTCCCAGATGGCAGCAAAAAGCAGGATGAGCAATTGTAGCCTGGTTCCCCACTAACTAGCGGGGAAGATCTTGGGACTCTGCAGACTTTGCAACATTTGAGATGACCATGACTGGTTGCTCTCCTGTGGCCTTGCCCCTCTCAGCCTCTTGCTTGCCTGATCCAGTAGTTCTAGGACCTTTTCCTTGCCTCTGCATTTAATCTGTTTTGGTCCTCATCTAGATTTAACTTCTTGCTGCTCTAAGCAATTAAATCTGGAGAGCATTTTTCTTGGCTAAGCCTTGGAGAGCTTATGACATGATATATTCAGCCTCAATCCAAGTCTCCAGCCTTGTTCTCCTAATTGCTACCCTTGCTCTGAGTCAACTGACCTCCTCTTGGAATCCTGAATGAAACATTCCATGCACATCCACTAGATGCAGGACTTGGTTCCTATAGGTCCTATAGGATGCAGGACCTATTTTGCAGGACTTGGTTCAAGGTTCTCTCCAGCAGCCTTCTTAACCTATGATCTTGAACTGAGCCTCTGAACTAAGCACTATTCTTTCTGTCATCATCTGTGGTCCTCATATGGGGTCTTATAAAACATTAGTCCTAGAGAGCATCCCCAAAGGAAAGGCTCCCTTTTGGAGATTTAGTGCATGTATTGCATCTAAGACTTTCTGAAGTTTTACAGAGAAAAAACATTTCAAGCGATATTGAGCCTACTGTTTCTCAAACTGATTTTGTTTTTTGTCTTTTTGAGACAGGGTCCTTCCTGCAGTGCAGGCTGGCCTTGAGCTCACTTTGTAGCTCAGGCTGGTCTACAAACTCACAATACTTCAGCCTCAACCTCTTGGGTGCTGGGATTACAAGCATCCCCATGCCTAGCTTCTTAAACTGATTTAGCTATGGACATCATTTTCACGTTATGTCAAAGGAAAAAGACCAATAAAAATGATATAGAATTTCAAAATAAGATAGGAAATTACCAGTGGCTATTAAATCACATATTGTTATCTTCAGATTACCAGATACAGGCATGCAAGATTGATCAAACAATATAAGCATTAACTGTTCCTTTCAATGAACTAACAGAATTCAGTGGTACAAAAAGTCTCAATTTTCCACAAATGACTTTGTTGTATTCTACAGTTCTTAGGTCCCTATCTTTTCTCCAACTACCTAAAATGATAACAGTCTAGCAGTTTGCACCCGCTGTGGGCTTTCTTAGCTCCTACAGCTGTTTTCACCCTCGCAGTGCTGAATGCCAGGTAACACACAGCCGGCAGCACTGTGCCTGCCTCGCATGCAGCGCGTACACAGACTGCTAGCTACTTTCATTGCAGGATAGTACAACAGACAGGGTAGGAGGTCAGCCTAAGGAATTAGACAGCACCCCTTTGAACTCTGGTGCAGCTCTCAATGAATAAGATATGATGTCAACATGTAACTTTTATTTCTGGTACACACACAATGAATCAAGGACAAAGCAGTTCTCAACTCTAGTGATTTGCCTCCCAGAGGACTTTTGATAGTATTTAGAGATAGTTTTTGTTGTCACACTAGCATCCAATGACTAAAAGTAGGGGACATTATTAAATATCCCACAGTGTACAAAATAAAGAAGTATCCAGCCTCAAATGTCAATAATGCCTTGTTGAGAAATCCTGTTCTACAACCAGGCTAATCAGGGATAAATTTCATACTGCTGATATTAGTTGCTTAGCCTTAAATGTCTATGGAATTTCTCTAAGTCTTAATTTTCCTGTCTATAGATTGGAGTTCTACTTATATCCACAGGACTGTGGGATGATTATACAAATAAGATGAATTGGCTGGTCCATATGAAATGTTTAACACAGTGACTGGTGCATAGAAAGTGACCACGGAGCAGATTTCCCTTGGCTGGCACCCAGGGTCTCAAGTGACAAGGAGGCCATTATTAATGGGTGAAATCTTCACCTCTCTCAGCACTCACTCTGTAAGCCCCAGAGAGTGCTCTCACTGAACCAGGCCCTGCATGCCCTCTTGTGTTTACTGCATGGTTGGATTTTACTTATATGCTCACCAGGGGCTCAATGGTGTACACGCTACCCAGGAAGAGCATGCTATCTTCCTGAACCAGCTTCCGCTGATTTTCGAAGGTGCGGGAGAGAATGGAAAGTTGTTCTCGGAGTGAAGGATCAGTAACACACTCTTCAAGAAACTCAACTGTCTCGTGCTTTTCCTCGTTGGTCAAATCTTCACAGATCCTAAGGAAAATGCAGGCGATGCAAGCTTTAGTTTTTATGCAGTCATAAAGAACTGTGTATACACGTTTCCCTCCAGGCCCACATCTTAGAAATAGCCTTACATCACTCTGGGGTGGGACCCCCTCACCCTGAGTCTGGTTCACTTTGTACACAATCCTCAGACCTTTCAGAGGCTTCATTTATTCACCTTTATTCACATCCTGCAAAAAGTCCTTCTCCATTTCTTTCCTACTCAGGGCCCATTTGTTTATCCCTGGCCCCTTACGTATCTGGACAAATATTTTCTTTTAGATAACTATGTTTTCCAGGTTGCCTTTAAAATATTTAATATGTACACCGTGTCCCACATTGCAAGAATGAATTTGTGCCTGTTAAATTTGCTAACTTTTAATTCTTTCTTAGCTGTTAGTAACCTAGGGAATAGAGCTAGCAAGGACTAAGTTTGGATGACGATTTTATGATCTGTTTACTAGCTCTGTGATTTTGAGAGTTGCCCAGTTGTTTTAAGTTTCAGTATCTGGACCTATAAAATTGGAGTAATAGGTGCAGAGCTCATCTATCAAAGAGATGAGGGTCAATGTGATCCAGGACCTGGTTCAGTTCGGGATAAAGCAGGTACTCCATCAACACCACTATATTCCCTGTGTCAACTGTAAGCAGTTACTAATGGCTAAGCTTAGAAATTGCTCAAGCTAACTAAAGAGGCCTCCTTTTCTCTTTTATCAGTCAGAAAAGCAGCCTTCCCTGACCACTTTCCAGAGCTGTGTTCCCCTTTCACTTGAATTTGTGGACTGGATTGTATCTCCTCCAGGACACAGGACCACATTCCCAGCATTGCACTGCTGTCGCCAGCGATGAGGGACAAATACTAAGCAAATGAGCGCTGACAGGGAGACTGAGGCCCCTGAAATCCTGTCCCAACCCAACTCACTTTCCAAATGATTTCATGTAAACCATACACTCAGTACTGTTAGCTCTTTTTAACTTCAGTATTCAGAGTCCTTTGGTCATACAGTATAAAGAAGTCAAAGGAATGGATTCAGCATGCACTATTTCTAAGGAAAAAAAAGCATCCTGTGCTTCCTTTGCATGGCAAGGCAGGAAGCTGCATCCAAGGTAACCAGTGGTGGTCCCTCTGTGCTGCCCGGAAGGATGGTGCAAATTAGAGCTCAGAAGTACAAGAACTCATTCTTTTTTCCTTGGCATTTGATATCTGTCTGAAAGACTTATAAGTTCTATACCCTTTGAAACAATAAATTCCACTGCAGGAATAAATCTCAAAGAAAACAATCATGGATGTAAATACAGACACAGCTGTAAAGATCATTATTAAAGTGCTGAGTGAAAAAAATATAATAAAGTAGGCAAACTTGATATAAGATATTGAAAGGCTGGTTAAACAAATAATGGGAAACATAAGCATTCAGTTATTGGGTACTGGATGAACCTTTCAGAGGCATCAGGAAATTTAATACTCATAACCACTATTTGAGGTGATTATTATAATGATCATAATTTTCATTTCATAGATGATGAAACTAGGGCTTGGAAAGATCAAGAATCCTACCTTAGCTCACAGAGCTGAAAGATGGAGCTGGAAATTCGAGCTAGGCCTTCTGCAGCTTGAATTTCACAGTGCTAGCCATACTCTACACTGCCTCCTATGACGCATGCGCATTATGAGGATAATAAGCAGCTGTTAAAATGGCATTAAAGAAGACCATTTAACAGCAATTTGCAAAAGTTGGAACCATTTTAAAAATGAAAAGCAGGTCACAAAATAATGTATTGAGACTAATCCCAGTTTGGTAATACAAAAGTAAAAAAGAAAATACATTGTGAAAAAGAACAAATTTAGAGATACCAAAATATTCAGTGGTTCTCTCTGGGTTGTTATACTAGAACCAATTTTTATTTATCTTTCTGCTTTACCTTACATTTTCTAAATTGCATTCATTCACAATGTATTTCTTTTGAAAAGAGAAAATATAAATAATTTAAAAATTTAAATGCTGACCCAAATTTTGACTAAAGCACAGCAGACATTTCCAGGGTCGCCTAAGGCAAAGGTTGGCCTGAACCCATGGTGCCATGGCTGGAACAGACACAGGTGAAACATGGGGTTGTGCAGCAGGGAGTGGTCTAAGAGGCCAGGCAGGGGGTGACATATACACAGCAACAGGCATGGACCTGAGGACATGGGTCTTGGTGGGAAAGGAGGAAACTGAAGGCAAAATATGACATTCATCCATCCATCCGTCCACCTTCTAGATTAGAATGGTATCTCTGGGAAAAATAGTGGGAATGGAATGTGGGATATAAAAGAAAAAATAAATTGCCTAATGTAGTCTAAGAATGGCAATGTTCTATGAATAGAGGGATATGATCAGCTCAACCCTCACACCAGAAAAACAAGAACACAAAACTAATTCCCAAATGCTGCTCTTCTGTACCGTTAGGACTCTGAATCAGTAACAGTGGTAGAGTGTGGGTAGCGTAGGGGATGCTGAAGGACTCCTCTTTGTCCTCTGCTGAAGAACTGGAACAGGGCTGAGAGTCTAAGGAGAGGGTGTGGAACAAGAGCCTTCAGCTGCTGGACTCCAAAAGGGCGGCCACATACCCATACCTCAGGCTATGGGTGCATCACCTTGCTGATAGTCATGTGTTCTTGCACTTAGAGTGTTTCTTTACAGAGAAGGAGATTTCTCATTAGACAGCATTAAAAAGCCTATTCCTCATCTTTTAGTAAAACCATCAGCTTAATACATTTTACAAATAGCCTGGCAGGCAGTAATGCCCATCACTTTCCATCATCATATGAAGGCCAGCCCCAAGCCGTGGATTTTAACAAAACCTGTGTTTTAGGTAACAGAGGGAGGAGTAAGTAGCATTTCCTCACCCCCCTTGCAGCACAAGAGACGGTAGCTGAATGGTGAGCAGATTAAAATCTGTGGCCTTCAGATCTTGCAGAAATACTCTTCTGTCCCTACTTGGGGTAGAGCAAAGGGAGCCATCTACCTTCTACTGGACCATGTGACGTGGGCAGTGAACAACTTTGTGCCAACTATTATAAAATGAGGGTCAGAGGTCTTTTCCCTTTTTTCCAGATACAACTTAAGTCCACAGATTTTTGTATAACCCCAGGGAAGGGAAAGAGCCTCCAAATTCATCTGAGATTAAATTTATTCTGACCCGGGAAACAGACTCAAAGCCCAATTAAAACTGATTTATCTAAAGAAATGTACTGTTTCCTGCAGCTGAATGATGTGAAATAAACCCAGGCTAAGAACCTGGTGGGGCTCCATTGAGGATGACTGCAGGTCTCACACAGAGCCGATCTGGAATCAGAGCTACTGCCTCTCAGATAATGGCTGTGACCT